GTCAAGATCAGTAACACTAAGCTGTGGAACTCTGACACAGCCAAAGTTATAAAACCAATTCCGACTGCCCTGTGACCCCACTGAGTCTTGGGGAGCATCACCAGGACAGGGCAGAGAGGGATAGGAGTGGGGAGCTCCTGGTGATGTGGAGACATTCTTCTGCATGGTTCTGACCTAGGAGAAGCTGCTTTAGGACATGGATCCCAAAGGAGCAAGAGGGACCAGGAAGCGCCGCTGATCTGCACAGACCCCTTTGCCTGCTGCTGCCCCACAGGGAACAGGTCAGTGCAATGTTTGCCTTCCTCCCTACCCCACCTTCCGCTCCTGCAGCAGCTGCTCTGTTCCTGACACCCTCTCCTGGTGACCACACGGCCCTCCCTAGGTCCCCCCTCCTCTGCCCTGTGCCAAACAGCCCAACCCTCCCACCTCCCTCTCACACCCCACCATTCCCACTGCCCTCCTCCCCTACACATCTCACTCCTCCCCACTGAACCCTTCCCACTGCAGGGAGCTGCTCAGGAGCCACATGGTCCATCCCTGGATTCTCCAAGCACTGACTGCCCATCCACTCTGACCACAGCCAGGGGCCACATCCCACTGCCTGCCCAGCGTCCATCCATGGAGGTGAGCACCGTGTCCCCATCTCCTGCCTCACCCACTGAAGGAGATGATCTGTGTGAGACAGATGTCACCACCGTGGCCATACACAGTGTGACCCTGCTCATCTGCCTGTGTGGGCTGGCTGGAAATGGGGCTGTCATCGGCCTCCTCAACCTGAAAATCCCCAACTATCGCTTCTTTGTCCTGGCTGTCACTGATTTCCTCTTCCTCCTCCTCACAGTCCCCTCGGCCCTCCTTTTCCTGGTGGAGGATGTGTCCTGCTCTCCTGTTATGCCCCTGCTCTACCTGAGTTTCCTTTTCCAGCTCTCAGTGGTCTCCTACTACTGGGCGCTGTTATGGCTGATGCCCAGGAGACGTGTTGTATATATGGACAAGCTCTGCTAGTTCTGCTGTCGCTGTAACCTTCTTCTACGCCTGACGTGGGCGGTGGAAAGTGTCCAATACTGGGCCTTCTTTGCTCTCTTTGCTGTCATCCCCACAGTGACATTCCTGTGCCCATCAGATGAGCAGGAGCTCTGCCGGGCAGCTCTCATCTCCATGTACATCATCATGCTGCTCCTCTTTGTTATACCCATGCTCATTTCAATCACAGTTGATTTCATTAATTCCAAGGTGGGCTCCCAGCAGCAGCAGCCCAAAAGGTGCGACATCGTTATCCTCATCATTGCGCTTTTCACTCTCCTCCTCAGCCTCTGGAATTTCCTGCAGCAACTCAGTTACATCGTTGTGTCATCAGAGGTTTTTTTCCTGCTCGCCTGCATCCACAGCAGCATCAAACCCTTCATCTACTTCTTGTTGGGGAGGTGCTGGAGGCCCTGCTCCATGGGGTCCCTCCGGCTCTCCCTCCAGAGGGTCTTTGAGGAGCAGAAAAAGAAACTGCATGGAGAAATGATCCTGCCATGAACACGGGGGTCTGAACCTGTTAATTCCTCCCACTGCACTGCTAAGTGACCCTAGGACAGTGACTGAGGGATTCCTTGAGTCACCTGATCAATAAATATCCAGAGCATCACCCTCCCCGTCATGTTGTACTCCTGCAGGAGAAGGGAGCAGGGGCATTGTCTTGGCTGATTTTTGTGGGATGCTCTGCAGGGAGCACATTGCAGCATGGATTTCCTCCTCCCTCCTGGATCCACATGGCTCCAAGCAGTGCAGCTGGGCTCAGTGCCGTTCCCAAGCTCTATTCCCCATGGAATGACCCTCATGGCCTCGGCCCCAGGGAATGAACTCCATCTCCTTTGGCTCTGGCCTCGGCCCCAGGGAATGAACTCCATCTCCTTTGGCTCTGGCCTCGGCCCCAGGGAATGAACTCCATCTCCTTTGGCTCAGCAGATGAGTTTCATGGTGTTTTCAGGGAGCTCTTGCCGGCAAAGCATGGGACACCTTAATCCCTGGGGACACACCCATCATGGAGTGGCAGTGATTTCCCAAATCCCTGCAGGGCTGGTGCCTCTGGATGGCAGTAGAGGGGTTGGGATCACTGGGAGCATCCTTCCCCTTCTGTCCAGCAGAGCCGGCCCTGCATTCCCAGCTGATGGGAAGGGACACCAGGTAGGGCTGCAGAGCTGGGGAGGGACAGCAACATTCCCTTATCCTTTCAGTGGGAATTTCTTACATTCTTCAATTCCAGAATTGAATTCTTCGGAGTAAAGTGCAGGGTCAATTCTGAACTCCACTGAACTCCTGTGCCAAGTACATGGAATATGGAAATTCCCATCACCAGATGCTTGGACCATTGAATTGCACAGAAATTAGGGGGTTGTGCTGCTCTTCTGCAGAATGGGACCATCCATCCTCTGGTTCCCCAGCATCAGTGTCCAGGGAAGCCCTTGAGCACCTCCATCCTGAACCTGGCCACCCTCAGGAGGAGCTGCACAGCCACTCTGCACAGCAGCTCCAGCCACAGCCCAGCCTCTCCTGATCTTTGTCATTCTCTAACCACCCCTCAATCAGATTTGCATTCATGGTTTTTGTTGCTTTCCCCTGTGGTAGTCCCAGCCTCTGAATCTGTTGAATAAACAAAATCCCGGCTTCACTGCAGGGCCTGTCCCTGTTAAACAGTGTCCAAAATGGTTCATTTCTTTCTTTTATCCCATTCTAAAGCCTCTGGCTGCTCTGGGAGCAGGGCAGGTCCCTGTCTCATACCAGAGCCCTTCCTAAGGCACGTGCCTGCAATGCTTGGGATGATGTTGGCAGTGCCAAGAGCTCCTGATTCCTGCTGGGAGAGACCTGGGCAGCAGCCACATCTCTTGCTCAGGGGGAAGTTGTCCCTCCTTTCCCACTGCCTTAAATCCAGGGGAAAACAACGTGCCACTGCTTCTGCAAAGGCAGGTGAGAGTGAAAGCCTTGTGCGGTGAGTCAGGCTTTGGACATACACATGAGAGTGAGACACCTGGACATCTGAGAAGGTTTTTCTCTCTCTGTCTCCCATTTTCCTGTTTATTGGAAAGACACTTTCCAAGGTGCAACCTCTTTTCCAGGGATGAACAACTCAGCCAGGGAATTTCTCCGAAGGCAAATGCAGGAGGATCATGATCCTCCAATGTACGTTTTCTACTTCCCAGTCACCCAGGCCTACCCCTACCTGAGCTTCCTTTCAAAAGAGCAAAGATTTCAAACATAAGTTTTCCTGGATGTCCTGTACCATGGTAGAAGGAAAGATGGAATGATATGATCTCTAAAGTTCCTTCTAACCCAAACAATTCCATGAGGATTCCTCACATCAGTCTGCATCCAGCCAAGGCAGGAGTTCTCCTGCTGCACACAGCACCAGCCTGACAGAGCTCAAGGAGCATTTGCACAATGCTCTCAGGCACAGGCTGGATTGTTGGGATGTCCTGTGCAGGGCCAGGAGCTCAACTCCATGAACCTTGTGGCTCCCTTCCAACACTGGGTTAGAGTGGCTCTATTTCATGATGGTTCTCTTTCATGATCATTCCACTTGATGATGACTCCCAGGTGTTGTCCCTATTCCCTAGGTACATGCTCAAGAGAGCTCTGCAATGCAACAATTACAGAAGAGGTGAATTCCTTTGCGCAGCTGCCAGGCTCCAGCTGCTGTCCCTGGGCCGGGATCTGCAGGAGGTTCCCTGGAATGGTCCCTTGGGAAAGGGGAGCGCAGCCCGCGGGCTGAGCCCGAGCAGCGTCCGGCGCGGGCTCTGTCCCAGCTCCTGCCACAGCCCCTGCTCTCCGTGCTGCCTCGTGTTCTCCAGGGCTCTCACACACAGGCAGCTGCCTCAGAGCCTGCCACGGGCTCAGGGCTCTGCTCCTCAGCTGCTCTTCACTCTGCCCGGGAAATGAGCAACGGGAGAGAGCCTCAGCAACCACACCTATGGCCAAAGCATCTGGGCTCCATCTCAGCTTCTATTCTATTTTATAGCAACCTCAATCCCAAAATCTTGTCTTTTGAACAGCCTGAACTTGCCCCCTCTCATTCTTGAGGTGGATCTTTGGTACCCTGCACTACAAATGTCCTGTTAAACTTTGATTTCTGATTCAAATCTATTTTTCCCACTTGTATACTGCAAGTTCAGTGGTACTTCACCTTAAACATTCAGTTTCCAAGAGGATTCATACAATAATAAATTCTGTGCATGAGCTGGAGCACTGGCAGAGAGCAGATGGATGATTTAGGAGTTCTGCCAGGTCATTTCTTCTGAGAAGAGGCAAATCAATGCTACTCCCATAGTATTGGAATGTTGGGCGACACAAGACAGATGATGGACTTTGGACCTGGTTAACATAGGAGTTTGATAACAGAATGCCTTGGCAAAAGCAAACAGAACTTTGAAAATTAGACCTAGATTGCAAAAAGAATTATTAAGGCAGGTTTACCGGAAAAAGAAAATCCCATTAAACTCTGGAAGCAAGAGATGTTGTTAGATGCATAACATTGTGTATGTGATTTTAACCTAATCATTGTAGTACACATTACTAGTCTCCCTGAAATAGTATATAAAGATTTGTATCCCACAATAAAATTGGATTCTGATCACCAAGTCAGTCTCCCCATCTCTCTGCATTGACAACACCGTGGCTTTAATCCTTGGAACGTTGCAGGTTTCCTCTGAGTCATCCTCTACACTCCCTTGGCAGTCAGACAGCAGCCTACAGTGAATTCCAAGGAATTCCTAGAAAGCTGAGGTGAGATGATTCCTACCCAGGCTGACATGTGCCTCAGGGATTGGGATGCTCCTCCTGGAAACTGCTGGCCCTGGGACCAGAACTGTCACTTCTCTTCCCTGCTGACACCGTGTTTGTGTCCCCAGCTATGGAATCTCACATCCCCTCACCACCCCAATCTTTTCAAGGGCAAACACTTCATGATCCAGGAGCTGATGGGGCTCTAGAACCGGTGGAGAGGCATTTTGGACGAGGGCATGGAGTGAGAGGACAAGGGGCAATGGCTTCCCAGTGACAGAGGGTGGGGTCAGATTGGATATTGGGAAGAAATCCTTCCCTGTGAGGGTGCTGAGGCCCTGGCACAGGCTGCCCTGTGAGGCTTTGGCTGTCCCTGGATCCCTGAAAGTCCCCAAGGCCAGGCTGGATGGGGTTTGGAGCAATCTGGTATAGTGGCAGTTATCTCTGCTTGCAAAGGGACAGTCTGGGATCAGGTGTCACAAACAACCTCAAGTGTTCCCAGGATTGAGGAGGAGCAGGAGCAGCTCTGGTGAAGGGCTGGCAGGGAGTGCACAGCACCCTGGTCCCTGATAGCTTTCATTGCATCATCAAGGGGATTGGCAGTAATTAGGGTGGGCCCCAAGTGCTGATAGCCTGGCTGCAAGCAACTGAGTGCTGTCCTTCCCTTGAGCTGTGTGAGCCTGCGGGAGAATGCAAAAATGGGAATTCTTGCCTCAGTTTTGCTTCATGGGGCAAAGGGGTAGTTCTGGCAATGATTCTGGAGCTTTTCCCAAAATGGGAGCAGTTTCTGACAAGCAGCCAGACTCTTCACCAGCACTGCCAGCACTGCCAGCAGCATTCCAGTGCCACCAGCACCACCAGCATCCCTCTGCTGATGGAGGGACAATGACCCCTCAGGGAAGAGAAATGAGGAATGTTAGAGAGAAGGCAGTTGGAGAATGGGACATTGTGCAGGGAAGGAATGTTTCTAATCAGAAGAAATAGAGGAGCCATTTGCAAAATCCTTCATGTGGACTTGTGACAAAAGCCAATTCCTTTGGGGCCAAGAAAAAAAAATAATCAAGATAAATAACTATGAGGGAGTGGAGCTCTGACATAGCTGCAGTTGTAAAACAATTTCCGCCTGCCCTATGACCCCATTTAGCCTTGGGGAGCAGCACGAAGACAGGGCACAGAGAGGAGCCAGCAGGATGGGAATGGGGAGCTCCTGGTGACGTGGGCACTTTCTCCTCCATGTCCCTGACCTGGCAGGAGCCGCTTTAGGACATGGATCCCAAAGGAGCAAGAGGGACCAGGAAGCGCCGCTGATCTGCACAGACCCCTTTGCCTGCTGCTGCCCCACAGGGAACAGGTCAGTGGAATGTTTGCCTTCCTCCCTACCCCACCTTCCTCTCCTCCAGCAGCTGCTCTGTTCCTGCCACCCTCTCCCGCTGACCCCAGTGCCCCCTCCAGCTCCCCCCTCCTCTGCCCTGAGCTTTTCTTCCACATGCCCTGCTGAAAACCCTCGCACCTCACTCTTCCCCACTGAATCCTTCCCACTGCAGGGAGCTGCTGAGGAGCTGCATGGTCCATCCCTGGATTCTCCAAGCACTGACTGCCAGTCCACTCTGACCACAGCCAGGGGCCACATCCCACTGCCTGCCCAGCATCCATCCATGGAGGTGACCACCGTGTCCCCATCTCCTGCCTCACCCACTGAAGGAGATGACCTATGTGAGACAGATGTCACCAGCGTGGCCATACACAGTGTGACACTGCTCATCTGCCTCTGTGGGCTGGCTGGGAATGGGGCTGTGCTCTGGCTCCTCAGACTGAAAACCTGCAACCTTGGCATCTTTGACCTGGCTTTCACTGACTTCCTCTTCCTCTTCTTTGCACTCCCCTCCGCCCTCCTCTTCCTGGTGGAGGATGTGTCCTGCCCTCCTATCCTGCCCTTGATGTACCTGGACATCCTTTTCCAGCTCTCAGTGGTCTCCACCTACAGGGTGCTCTGGATGATGCAGAACACCTTTATGTGGTACAAGCTCTGCTGGCTCTGCTGCTGCTGGAAGCCTTCTCTGCGCCTGGTGTGGCTGGTGCTTAGTTTCCAATTCTGTGCCTTCTTCGCTCTGTTGGTTGTCATTCCCACAGTGACATTCCTGTGCCCATCACAAGAGCAGCAGCACTGCCGGGCAGCTCTCATCTCCATGTACACCCTCATCCTTCTCCTCGTCGTTGCACCCATGTTCATTTCCAGCACAGTCAGCTTCATTAACGCCAGGCAGAGCTCCCAGCAGCAGCAACCCGAGAGGTACGCCATCATTATCTTCCTCATTGTGCTCCTCAATCTCCTCCTCAATCTGTGTGATTTCCTGCAGCAGCTCGGTTACAGCACTGTGTCCTCACAAGTTGTTTTCCTGCTCACTTGCATCCACAGCAGCATCAAACCCTTCATCTATTTCTTGGTGGGGAGGTGCTGGAGGCCCTGCTCCATGGAGCCCCTCCAGCTCTCCCTTCAGAGGGTCTTTGAGGAGGCAGAACAGGGTCTTTGAGGAGGCAGAAGAAAACAGGGTCTTTGAGGTGGCTGAAGAACACATCGCCCACAGTGATGAGTCCATCATGGACTCAGCGGTCTGGGCACTTCTCGCGATCCACCCTAGTGAATGGGTAACGTGGTGATTTTAAGGTGCAAAAAGAACACACAGAGGCACAGGGGATTTGCAGTAACAAAATCAACAAATGCAGTTTTATTGACTTAAACACAACAGAAATGCGTTGGTGAGGGGGAAACCAGGGAAAAAAGGAGAAGATAAGGAAAAGAGGGAGGAAAGGATGGGAGATGGGTATAGCTACCAAAATGTGATGCTGCTTTTATCCTTTGAGGTCCAGCCGTCGAAAGCTCACCAGGCCACGTCCAGGGAGATCTCAAAAGGCACAGCTGACCAGGACCCCAGTTATACCATCTTTCACTGGGGGAAGGGGAATGGTTTCTCAGCCGAAACAAAGGTCTGCGAGGGGGAAAAGAATAGGGGGAACACAAACTCAAGCCAGGCAACAGGTACCATTGTTTTCATGGCTCAGTGCTCACACTGCGCTTACTCTGGGCAGCTTTTCCTCCCACACTGCACACCTCCCCCGAGCTGAGAAGGGTTCAGTCCCAGTCTCTGGAAGAAGGTGTGAGGGGGGTTTTCTTGCACAGGGGTTTCTTGTCTTGGTTCCTTGATGAAGAGGCCTACATCTCTGCTTGTCTGTCATGATGGTGGAAGGCAGGCGAGAGGGGTCTTCTCTAGGAAGAGGGACCACCCCAAAGCTCAAACCAGACAGGCCAGGAGGTGGGGAGAAAGTCCAGGTCCATTGTTCAGAAAGGGCAGGGTGCCCGTTCAAGATCAGCGTGGCATGTTAGCAAACAACACCTGTGGACACATTGAGCTAAGAAGCATGTGATTCCCCGTGTCCCACCCGCTCAACAGTTTTTGACCTTTTGGTGGTCTTCCTGGCAATCGTGACGCAAAAATCAAGGATATTTCGGACAGACTCTTACATGACCCCTTGACTCACGATTGTCTTGAGGGATCTTCATCAGCAGAACTCTGTAGTATCGTTGATGAATCTTCAGAACTCGTCGCACTTTGGTAGCATAACCCGGAAAAAACAGGGACGTCAGAAAAGAGGAGGAAAGAAAGAAAGCGAGCAGGAAAAGAAAGGATAATAGACGGAGGGGAAAAAGGGAAGCAATAAACAAACATAATTAATATTGATTATCATGACAATTTTCACAAATCGTTGAATAATATTCTTTTACAACAATTTCAGAAATGGTTAATTAATTAAAACTATATCATTTGTATAACAATTTCAAAAAATGGTTGAAACAAATCAGAAAGAATCAAAACAAGAACAAGAAAGAAATCATAATATAAGCATTAACTTTAAAAATTATTTTCTAAAACAACTCACCAAAGATCAAAAATAATCTTCACAAGATCGTACTCAGGAATCAAAAATTGCTCATAATTGTTTTGTGTCAAATGTTTTGGGGATGTCCACAGTGTAGAGGACATCGGCTAAGCTGTGTGCATTGATTATAGACGTCAATCTCCTTAGCTTTTTCATCATGTTCCACTTCATAATGAATAGGGCTGCCGACAAGATAAAACCAAGCACAGTTAGAATCAAAAGGATGACAATGGGATGACACACACTGTTCAGGACACCTGTGGCAGTAGGTGACCACCCAAAGAATGTGTCCCACCACCTGTGCTCGGCATCTTGCTTTACCCTCTTCATGACTCGGTGTATTTGTCTCACGTTATGATGAACAGTTACCAGGGTCTTCTGCCTGCTTTCCTTGATTTTCTTGAGAATTTCTACCAGGTCCTGATGGAGCAGCAGATGTCTCACCAGGGTGAGGTTCATCCCGATGGGAGTGGGCATCAGCTTGTGAATCAGTGTGTAGTCGGATTGCAATAGGTAGTGAGAGGTAACTGGAGCTTCACAAGAGAAATCACATCCTGAAATCTTGGTAAAGTTACAAGGACAGAAGTTTGAGTGATTCTTTGTATCTACTACAACATCTTCTACAAGCACAAAATCACAGATACTTCTGAAGCATGCACATCCATTGCCTATGTATATAAGAACTGTTTCAGAAGCTTCATTAGGACAAATCTCAAAATGACAGATGTTTTGCTCTGTGTCTAAACAGATATCCTGAGCTATGATTGCATTGTTTTCACAGATGAACCACTGTTATTCTCGAACAATAGAAGATTCCAGATTAACAGTTTGCCATTTGTCATTGACCTGACGGGCCCATCCTCTATGTTCTGTGGGATAGAGAACAGCTCTGTCGTAATTCAGTTCTAATGCTATAACAGGGAAAATCAAATGCACTGAGGCATTGCGTATGGTTAACAAAAAAGCTGTGGCTGTATTTAAAATGGGGTCATAGGTCAAAATTCACTAGGTTCCACCAGGATTGGAATTCTCTTTCAAAGTCAGTGGCAGTGTCCCAAATTATTTTCCAAATTTCAGTAGGAAAAGTGCTTTCTTCACGTTCTCTTATAATTGAAGCAAAACTGACTGCATCCACAATTGTGCCTGGATACAGCTGAGAACCAAAGAAACATTGCTTTGTCTAGCACCAAGTGCATCAATTACCAATTGGTGATCATTTACAATTACCTTCTCCCAGTTTGGTAATATGTTTGATAGCAACTACTGGTGTGTTCACAAAAGCTAATAAGAATGACTGCAGTGGTTGCTGTACTTTGATCAAATCTCTAATTGTGACAGCCAATTTATTCAAGTTCAATTAATTTACATGTCATGTGTAATATCATCACCTGGTGTTACCATAAAGGGAAGGGAAAACATTGTTTTTGTTGTCCAGCTCTCATGTTGTCATGGTTTATCAGGTCTTCATGTCCCTTGCAGTTCTTCTGAAAAAGTAAACACAACAGACTCTGCCACGAAAGGCAGAAAAAGTTAGAACCATGGAATTGTCAGAGAGGTTTTGAACACCAGTGGGACTTCCCCTACAGCAGCGGGGGGTCCACCAAAAACAGGTTGTCCAGGGTAATGTGCTGGGTTCTTGAAATCATCTGGTCCCTGTAGTGAAGGAATTATGCTTGGAGCTGTCGGGCAAAAAGCAGTGAATTTGGAAAACTCATTTATCCCCCATCTATAGTAATAGGTGTGAGAAGTCCATTCAGTCTTTTCAACTTTTGCCCAATCCTGCACACTTTCGACAGTAAAGTGAGAAACATTATCAGATTGAATTTCCTGTGGTTTTAGGAAAATTCCAAACAATCCTTGCATTGCTTTAACACTACTATCTCTTGTAGCTCTTTTAAAAGCATCAGCCACGACCAACCCAAATATAAACATAGCATAGGACTCGGTGTAAATACAGACAAGAAAGTAATTCTGTCTGTCACCTTGGAAAATGCTCCAAACAGTTAACAGTTCCTCAACCTGGGCATTGTCTTCTCCCTTTCTGTTAGCAGGAGCGGAGGAGAGAGGAGGGGTTGCTTTAGTCACAGAGGCAGGTTTATTTTGGCTGCTACCCAAGCTCCCAGTTTCTTGGATTGCCCAGTTCTCCTCCATCTTCCTGGGAGCCAAGCTAACCACAAACACACACCCTTACCAGGTAGTGTACCTTTTCTCAGCATCTTTGAAACCACAGGAATAAAAACCAACAGGCTTTGTCAGACCCTCAGGACCCCACTGCCAAATGTGTGCTGAAAGCTGTGAGGAGGCAAATCCCCACTCCACCTGAAAGGGGTCTATAGGATGGATAGAGTCCAGTGCCTGATGAGCTGTCACTTCAAGAATCAGCAATTGCAATGTTTCCTTCTGAGAAGTCCAATCCCATTTTATTCTTTTTCTCAGCAAGTCATAAAGGAGAAAAAAAGGGTCATTCTGGTTACTAGGAAGTTTATCTGGTCTTTCTATAGAAGACATAGCTACTATGGTTTTCTGAGGGAGAATTGCTGTAGGTTTAAGTGTTTCTGAAAGCCCTTGAGTTAAAGAGGTCATAATTTCAGGCTTTACAGGTGATTACATTGGTGATTCAAAACAAGAAATTAATTTCTTTTCGTGAATCAATTGCAGGCAGCCGGCTTTGTGAATGTTTTCCAGGAGTTGGTCGGGGGTACCGACCAAAGGGTCTCTCCTTTCCAAGGGGTTAAACCTCCCTGCTCAATGAGCTTTGTGCTGAGTTAGGGACCATGGGATACATCTGTCTGGCATTGTTAAGAACACCCCATGTCCCCAGCACCCACCGGCTTCTTGTTCTGACAAAAGAATCTGATCTCCCCCAGTGAGAGACACTTGACAAATGTGTTCTGTTTCAGATTTTTGGAGAAGAAGCCCGTACTGCTTTGCAAGTTTTGTTAATTCAGTAGCAGAGTACAGGATTTCTTTAGTGGTTTTGTGCGGGTCAAGATCTTCATTATTGATATAGTTGCATTCTGTTCTAATTAGAAGTTTTATGCTATTACAGCAATGCTTCCCACAATTTTTCATCAGAGTTAATTCTTTTTGAGGGCAATTTTGACTAATGTAAGGAGTTCCTTTCTCCTATGCCTCTTTTGGGGAATCAGTGTTATGTGAATTTTTAACATGTTCCTCTCTCAGGGTGGCCCATAACAAATTATTTGCATTTCTTTCTTCATCCAATTGTTTTTGCAAAACTTCAACTAGGTTTTGGAGGGAGTCTATTATAGCAGTTTCCTCACTTTTTCACTTCAAGCGAGTTTCTATGGCTGCTGTCAGGCAGGCTCCCAAAACTGAGCAGAGGATGGTTTTATTTGTGCCCAGTTTGAATTTTGTTTCATGTTGCAAAGAAGATATTCTATCAATAACATTTTCTAAGTTAAACCAATTGCAGTTTGCCCATACTTCTCCTCCTGGAGAAGGTGTGGCATTGTATTTAGCAAGCAGAGCATAAAATTCAGCTTTACCTTTTGCACTGAAGTTTTTAGTCATTTTGTGAAAGGACCAAAACTACAACAGGGAGTTAATTGTAAACTTAAGTTACACAAATCAC